TAACAAAAATCATTGCAGCATTGTGAGTCAAGTAAGACATGTTGAAAAGATGTGCACCAGAACAGCATTTGCACAGCAGAGACATGACATGAAGAGAGGCTCCAAAACAAATTGATAATGGTAGTGAAACAGACCATTACGAAAATAATTTCTAAAAATGTTTCGCAATAGGTAGTGTCAGAATTCAAAATTGTTCCTGAAATGTTACTTTGCAACAAAAACCCTGAAAGTGGTCATGATGATAATTAGGATGAGATGATGACAACAAAGATCATAAGATGATGATGATGACAATGATGATAATGACAACAGAGATCATGATATGATGTTGATAATGATGATGATGATCTTGATGATGAAAACAACATGCCAATATGACTATGAGCAAATTGTATCCTATATAAAAAAGATCTCACAAACAATGACAAACAAATAAACAAACACACCAACAAACAAATCAACAAGTACAACGACATACTTGGAATGGGAGGAAGCACTCCAGAGGCAGAGCGTAGGCGTCGTTTGGCAGAGGCGATCTCCTCATTCTTTCGCTTCAAGATTTTCTGTGTCTGTTCATCCCTGATCTCCAGCTCCTTGACCTTTTGAACTTCTCGTTGCATCTCTCGCTGAGAACCGTATGAGACGGAGGGAACAGGGGATAGACAGAAATAAACATCTAATTAAACTGAGATTATAGCAACAGGGCAAGATAAATAGAAACGGGAAGCAAAGGTGAAATCATGTTTTCTGTAGTGAGAGTTTTACAGCACTTGCAATGCAAATAGGTTGTATAAGAGCCGAAGATTAGGGGTGTAACTAGAGAGTAGCATACGTACAAAGAAAAGAAGGAGAGATAAGAATCATAGAAGCCTTTTTTAACGAAATAAACACAACTTTTTTTTTTACAGGAAAAAACTGAATAGCCAGTTTTTCTACGCCCACTAAACAATGTCTGCCAGACAAACAATGAGTTCAGTGTGCAGGAGGTCGACAAGTCCACGAGGGTGTCAGGCAAGAAAAGGAGAAGGGTGGAGTTTACCCAAGTCAGAAAGCCAGGAATCAAACCTACGACATTGTATCTGCCAGTTTTGATGCTAATCCATTAGCGACCTGAAACCACTATGCTATTCAAGAAAATCAGCAGCAGTCATGCATAGTAAAGCAAAACTTAATAATGAGTCAGCACTATGACCACTACATTCTTTCAGCAACAGTTAAGGACAATACAAACAGAGAAAACAAGAAAAAGAAACAGACCATGCCAAATCGTCCACTTACTTTATTCCAGCAAGTAGAAAAAACAACAAGACAAACAAAGAAAACAGACAAACAGATGTCGAGATTTTTACAAAAAATCATAGTGAAAAGACAAGGTAAAACAAAGTGAACTTCAAAAGTACAGACAAACAAATAAACAAACACACCAACAAACAAATCAACAAAAACGATGACGGAGAAACCAACAAACACAATGACAAACAGAAACTCACATCCTGAATGCTTTGGCTTGACCTCATCCTCTTGATCTCCAGTTCGCTCTTCTCCGACAGCACAGCCTCTTTCTTGGCAATGATGGCTTCCCTCTTGTGCAAGTCCTTTGGGAGGGAAGACATAAAAGTAGTTCACTTCAGCATGAAGCTTTGAAAAAGCTTTGGAAAACATTGAACCATTTAAAAACTATTGCATGCATAGAAATGACATGGCTTTCATATGAAAGTGTCAGTCTAAAATACCAGAAAAATATTATTTTCCCAAGGCTGACGCAAACAGCTCTTCAGCAAATAAACCAAAAGTGTGAGGCACAGGCAAGAACACACACACAGAAGCAGGTCAGTCAACCACTGTATGACCAAAAATATTATTCTACCTCAGAATCGTCCCCCAAAAATTGGAGTTTGGGTTAAAAAAATCAGGGTCTCTGGAACTCTGATAAATTAATATAAAGTAACAAACTGACCACGGCAAATAAATGTGCACTGCGAATACACTGTATGCACAAACAAAAATGCGTATTTTCACGTCATTATGGACAATGTTGCAAAAAAACGCCAAAAAAATTGAGTATTTTAACTTCACTTATGGTAAAATGCACACGACTTGACAGAAATGGAATTCAATTGAAAAAAACATAAGATTTCATGCAAATCCGATCGGGGATCTTCAACTGGAAAAAGAGAGCTCTAATTTTATTGGTGTAGAGTACTTGGAAGGTGTTCAGACCTATAAACACATCCTCACCCCTTCCTCCCCACCATCCTTTAATCTCCCTACTTCCTACACAAACAAACCTCCCCCCCCCCACCCTTTTTCCTCTTAACACCCTTTCTCGCCTCCTCTCCTCTTCCACAAAGGTCATTCTTTGATCCTCTCTCCACACACACACACACACACACATCCACTCCCCCCCACCCCCACCCCTCATTCGCATGTACTGAATGCACATTGTAATATCTCACCTTTTCCAAGTTTTCATTCTGCCTGCGTTGCTCCAGAACCTTCTCCACTTCAGCGTCCAGCCAGCGCCGCTGTTCTTCCAGCTTGTCCTGCTCCTCGCTGACACAACCACAAACACAGGAAATTGTTTATTAATGAATTGGTTCTCGGATTTGTGTAAAGCACATAGAGCTGTGTGCCCCATAAAAATAATCTGTATTATTATCACTTTTATTTCAACTCAAAATATTGTCGTCTCAGAGCTATTTTGTCCAAAGTGCCTCTTTACTAAAGTACACTTTGGACAAAATAGTGCCTCTTTACTAAAGTACACTTTGGACAAAATAGTTCTGAAGAGACGGTATGTTTATCAGCGATTTCGCATCATTTACACCAAAAAAAGACTGTAATTATTGTTCAAGAATTTTGCGATCATTCATAAAAGTAGGAATTTCAGCTAATTTTTTAAAACAGTTTTAGTAAAAGTTTTATGACACATGCAACACAGATAGGTCATATAAGTAACACACATAGACAAGAAGCAGAGATATGGATGGTAAAATGTCTGATAAGAAAGAAGGAACAAACCACACCAAAGCCCCTATCAACCATCAAAATTTAACTAAAGACACATTATCAGCCATTTGATATTAATCACATGAAAAACAAGCTCAGTAAATATTATGTCAGAGATTTCACCATGTACAAACAACAGCAATAATAATAATCATCATAATAATTTCACTTCTTTGAATTTGAGGTTTATAAAGACAAAACGAATGCATCAATGGAACATAGTAACACCTTAAGACAAACATCAAACATTCCCCCTCCCCCTTTACCCCCCCTAAAAAAAAACCTTGAGAGAGAGAGAAAGAGAGAGAGAGAGAGAGAGAGAGAGAGAGAGAGAGAAAGAGAGAGAGAGAGAGAGAGAGAGAGAGAGAGAGAGACAGACAGACAGACAGACAGACAGACAGACAGACAGACAGAGAGAGAGAGAGAGAGAGAGAGAGACAGACAGACAGACAGACAGACAGAGATAGAGAGAAAGAGAGAGGGAGAGAGAAAGGTGAAAGAAGATGTGAGAAGTAAGCTAAGCAAGGATTTATTAACAAAAATCATTGCAGCATTGTGAGTCAAGTAAGACATGTTGAAAAGATGTGCACCAGAACAGCATTTGCACAGCAGAGACATGACATGAAGAGAGGCTCCAAAACAAATTGATAATGGTAGTGAAACAGACCATTACGAAAATAATTTCTAAAAATGTTTCGCAATAGGTAGTGTCAGAATTCAAAATTGTTCCTGAAATGTTACTTTGCAACAAAAACCCTGAAAGTGGTCATGATGATAATTAGGATGAGATGATGACAACAAAGATCATAAGATGATGATGATGACAATGATGATAATGACAACAGAGATCATGATATGATGTTGATAATGATGATGATGATCTTGATGATGAAAACAACATGCCAATATGACTATGAGCAAATTGTATCCTATATAAAAAAGATCTCACAAACAATGACAAACAATTAAACAAACAGAACGACAAACAAATAAACAAGTACAACGACAAACCTTGGAATGGGAGGAAGCACTCCAGAGGCAGAGCGTAGGCGTCGTTTGGCAGAGGCGATCTCCTCATTCTTTCGCTTCAAGATTTTCTGTGTCTGTTCATCCCTGATCTCCAGCTCCTTGACCTTTTGAACTTCTCGTTGCATCTCTCGCTGAGAACCGTATGAGACGGAGGGAACAGGGGATAGACAGAAATAAACATCTAATTAAACTGAGATTATAGCAACAGGGCAAGATAAATAGAAACGGGAAGCAAAGGTGAAATCATGTTTTCTTTAGTGAGAGTTTTACAGCACTTGCAATGCAAATAGGTTGTATAAGAGCCGAAGATTAGGGGTGTAACTAGAGAGTAGCATACGTACAAAGAAAAGAAGGAGAGATAAGAATGATAGATGTTTGACAGGAAAGAAGGAGCAAACCACATCAGAGCACCTGCTACCCCCAAGGCGGTGATACTGACTGAACTGTCTTCAGGCCATTCCCAAAGGGGGACATTAACATGTTCTTATGCATAGTAGAATTGTAGTAAATGGGCTGATTCAACAACGTCATGCTCATAAACTGTGCCTGAACTGCAACAGGGAACTGCTGCTTTTCAATTCCTAATCCTTACTATTGTCATTTTTCCTCTACTTCTTTTGTATGTTTGTCACACTCTTGTGACCCGTAGTTTCCGGGGTGCCTTGATAGTCGAAGCAGACTTTGAGCTGTTGAAGCTAGAGCGGTGAGCAGAGTAAGCCTGATTCCCTGTATGGACTTCTCTGTAGACATCCACCCCTTGGTGCTCATATGACCTTATGCAGTTGCGAGCGCCGTAAAAACTCTACTAAAACTAAACAAGAGCACCTATATGGCCACCTACTGAGGCTGAAGAAACAGGAGGCAGAAAACATAACAACGGGGTAAGAAAAAAGGAAATTGGAAACAAATAGGAAACCAATAAGAGAGAAAGGGAAACTGTGCAGCATGTGGAGGATCCAGTGCGTTCGCCAAATCCATTTTATTGAACAAACTTGCTGATAAGTGGTGAAATGAGAGAGAAAGAGAGAGAGAGAGAGAGAGAGAGAGAGAGAGAGAGAGAGAGAAAGAGAGAGAGAGAGACAGACAGACACACACACACACACACTCACACGCATGCAAAAGGCATCACAGAAAACCACTGACCTCCAGTTTCGACTTTTGCTCCGACTCATCTCGTAACTTCTTATGCATGGTCTCCTGCTGTTGCTTCATGCGGTCAATGGCTATCTCCAGGTCCTGGATTCTGCAGCACAACAACATAAGAGTATTAGTGTCGAGCATATGGGTGGTTGGTGGGCACACAGGTGTGGTTTGCTCCTTCTTTCTTATCAAACATCTATAGTCCATACACCTCTTCTTTCTTTTCTCTGTATGTTACTCTCTAATACCACCTCCAATCTTATGGCACTTATATGACCTGTTTATGTTGTAACAGCCATCAAACTCATACTAAAACGAAAAAAAGTGTCAAGTAGTGTCACCATACCTGTCACTTTTACACATAAAATGTACCCAAGTACAGTTGAAACTTTGTGCAGAGTAGGTGGTTCAACAGAGCTGTGAGAGCCTTTGACCACAGCTATGAGATTATAAAACAACATTTTTGGACCATAACTGGATGACAGAGAAAGCATCAAAACATACAATTCGAACTGAGAAGTGTTTGTCCTACTTTCTGTAAACCGTATCAGCACTTTGCAAATGTTTTCTTAATGGAAGTTAACACATTATTTCTATAATTTGACAGTCACACATTGCAACAACCACATACCCACTCTGTGAGATTATGTAAGAGGTGGGAACTCCTATGATAACATATGCCTAGGCTACGACCCAGCCAAGTAGGCAGAAGCATTCATGAAAATTGTCTAAACAACCCTAGTTCAAGAACACTCTGCCAAATTGGAAATCAAACCAAGTTTATCCACATATTAGCCTAGTATGATACCAACTGAGCTATCGCAGGCCCTTGATCAAGTTGAGTGCTCACTTTTTCTCATGCTGACTGGCGAAATTGGCCACTTTCTCCGTCTCCCTCTGTTTCTTCTGCAAAGCTGAGACCTTGGCCTTGGCATCTTCAATCTTTTTCTTGTAGTCCCTAAGATAAATAGCAAACATAATTATACCAATGACGATAATAATCATAATCAAGACATGGTTTGGAAGGCAGAGCAGGAGGGAGAGTCTTGTTTGAATTTCATACAAAATAACATAACAATACAAAACGTTCATAATTTGTTGAATAGACACAGCCTCTTGGGCTTCCTCAGGAGCAACTGAGAGTGTGGTCTCTTTGGTTGTTTACTTTGCAATCTGGCGTGTTGGTCAGTGGCAAGGGGTTTGGCCTAGCCTATTGTATTGTTTGACTGAAAGTGTGAGAGTGAGTAAAGTGTGAGTCTCAGTTCAGTTGGTGCAAGTGTATAAAAACAGTCTGGATTACTTCAGGTTAGACTTTAGAGGGGAGAGCTGTAGTAATCAAGACGAGAAATAGTGGGGTCACAAGAGTGTGACAAACATACAAAAGAAGTAGAGGAAAATGACAATAGTAAGGATTAGGAAAGAAAAAGCAGTAGTTCCCTGTTGTAGTTCAGGCACAGTAATGAGCATAACATTGTTCGATCAGCCCATTTACAACTCTACTGTGCATTAGAACGAGAAATGTCCCCCCTTTGGGAATGGCCTAAAGACACTTCAGTCAGCGGCACCGCCCCAGGGGTAATCATAATAATATCAAGGACAATGACATAATAACAATAAAATAATATTAATAATAATTAACTACTCACGTCTCCAGCTTCTGCATATTGGAAACCTCAGCCTTGTCTCTATGCTCCAAATTCTGCAGCGCTCGCTGGACCTCCGACAAATCTTTCTTGGCAGCCTCTTTTTCCTAGAGCATGAGAGACAAAAGAAAGAAATTTGTATAGCTGGAATGATACATGTAACCTTACGGATGACAAGCTTGTAGTTTTAGCAAAAGTTTTACAGCACTTACAACACAAATAGGTCATATAAGTGTTGGAAATTATAGTATTACGAGGGGGGTTCAATAAGTCATTGCTCTGGGTATGAAGGAATCATAGTAAAGTAATGGAATTTCGCCAGTCTTTAGACAATTTCTTTGGAACACATCATGCAAATTTTCAAGAAAACCTGACAATAATAAGCCACTAGTCAGCGTGTTCAATGAAACCAGGCACAAAAACGTTTGTTCTTCTTTGCTAAAGCTGTGCCAGGGAGCCAGTTGAGTATCGCTCATTTATCAAGTTTTTACACTAGCAAGGAAAACCCTTTTCAGACCTTCAAGTTAATGTTGACAAATGTTCTCGTTATAATACTATGACATACTTGGTAAGAAAATTAAAATCTGGATTCATGTCGGTGAAGGATGAAAATCGTGAAGGGCGCCCATCCTTAGCGGTAACTGAAGAGAATGTATCCATAGTAAAGAAACTGGTTCTACAAGACCCACGTTTAACTGTTCACCAGCTCTCAAGTGAAACGGGAATCAGTGTAGAGTCAATTGAAACAATTCTCCATGACCATCTGGGTCATTTTACTCTCAAGGACTTTTGAAGGTCAAAGAAAAGTGGCAGAAATGTATAACTCTTGCATGGTGACTATGTAGAGAAATGAAAGTACGTGTGCCAAGTTACGTTTTATCTTTATTCCTTCATATTTAGACCAAAGACATCTTGAACCCCCCTCCTACTAAAGTGTAAATACCAAGAAGAGAAGGAAAGATAAGGACAAAAAATGTTTTGATAGGAAAGAAGGAAAAACAATACCAGAGTATCTGCAGACCACCCACTAGAGACACTTTAACCACTGGATGGTACGTAAAGATAGTAAAGCCCGAGTAGAAATAGCAGCCAGTCACCACAACAATAGACAAACTAGGGAAACAAAAACATAAGATGTAGAAAGAGCAGACCCCACAACACACCTGAACAACCTACACCTCACTGAAACAAAACACAAAACAGACATTTTTCATGTCGTATCAAAGAAAATGCACATATGTTGTCAAAGCGGAAAAAAAAAGAATTGAACATCAAATTTTTCCTTTCCTATCCACACAGACCTTTTCCAAACCCTTGATCTTTTCTGCATACTGTTTGTTCATCAACTCTGCATCTTTCTCTGATTTGACCAACTCCCGGATCAATTGCTCCTTCATTCTGAAAAAGAAAACAGTTTTCCATGACCAAATCGTCCAGTCTCTCAACAGTTTGCCTATTAATTGAATATACAGATATTGATACCAAACAAAGATAGATCTGGGGATTTCACCTAAATTCAAATCTTTAAAACTGTTAATCTGACCCAGATTCGGATAATGTGTTAGTACCAGGACCGTGTGGATCAATAAAGTTGATTTTATCCTATCTTAATAGATAAAGCAGCTTGGTAAAGGAGAAAAAAGAGAGAGAGAAACAAGCTGTTGATACCTGATGTTGATGGACAGGTCCCGTATCTTCTGGTTAGCCTCCAGAACACGCAGCTGTGACTGTTTGATAAGCTTGCGTTGGATCTCAGCACTCGACTCCACGTCCATGTTGATGAGACGACCGCCTTCTTGGCTAGAGCGAGACACATCGGCAGCTTCATTCGCCATTTGAGAACTAGAGTGAAACCCTGTATCACCTAAAAAAAAATTTAAGACATAGATTGACTGCAGTTGTCAAAGCATTTTTAAATAAACACACACACACATTCACCACACTTTGCAAGAAAAATAAAACTTCTATAGCCACTCTCTATGAAGCGCAATCATATTTACTTGCTTGCATAAGAAAAGACACAAATGAGTATAAGACTCCACCATACGCCATAGTGAAAAGTGACATATGACGAAGTCGAACACTGAGCAGAGGAGATGAACTATGGCAACATGCTATGCAGGACTCATGCATATCCACTGGTGCTTTCACGCCCGGGCCCTCTTTTGGTACACAATCTAAAATTGACATATACCTCACTAAGTAAATTGGTCATTAAATCAAAACAAGTGAACTGATTTTGGTAGTTCCTCATCTAACGAATGATATCCCGGTAAAAGAGACCTTTTTTCGGTAATTGCAGAAAAGTAATTTGACGTCGAAGTTGTCAAAATGGAATGTGCTGGAGCTGCTGCCAGTAGGTAACCGACAGCAAGCAGCTGGGAGCGAGATTACCGGAGATAATGAGTTAACTGGACATATGGTATAATTCTTTAAAATTGAGTTGAAACTATCTAATTCAAGAAATACGATGTTCTTGAACAAAGTTAAAGATAACGAAGCATGGAGAGAAAAACCCCAAGAAAACCTCGGAGCCCAGATACTTTGGTTTGCGCTAGGAGAGCAAAATATTATTTTCCATGAGAGAAAAGTTGGTAGTGAGAATGAGCAAACAGAAGGTATAACTGTAAATGCTTTGTGTCTTGTATGAAAAGAATATGAAAGGAACATACAAATGTCCAAGAGGTGCTAAAAAATCAAAAGCATTTTCTGAATTCATATAAAATCTAAAAGACACCCAATTCTATAATAAACCTGTGATCTATAAACCACAATAACCCATGACCTAACACGACCCATGACCTACCATTTCTGCTGCCTACAGCAACATCAGGGAGACTATTCCTGGGTTGAGCAACAGGCCCTGCACCTCCTCCTCGTTTGACTTGAAATGTTCCACGCCGCTTGAGGGCTGCAGCTTTCCTGCTGAGAAACAGAATCACCTTGTAATAACTTACTTTTCCTATCCAAAAAAAAAAAAGAATAACTGTAACAACTCAACAGTCAAAAAGTTTTCAAGGCAGCAAAGATAGAGACTCTTGGGACATTGTTCACATTCGTCCCTGTATTAAAAAAGTCATGAACTTTCTCTGTCTTCTCAATGAAGGAACAACAGAAAGTGTCATTCTAAATACAAGTGCAAGCTACCATTTTACAAACACTCAAACACCAAAATACAGACTGTGGCTTTACTGTTTCTTCACTGTCTCAGTCAGATACCCACTTCCAACTGGAAGAGGAGAGGAAAATTTGGGTAAAGTGGTTTTTTTCAAGGGTTACCACGTCATGCCTGGAGCAAAATTTGACCCTTGACAATTGAAATGAGCAACTTGAGCACTAGACATAAGAGCTATAGAAGATGGTATGGTTTCAGTTTTAGCAAGTTTTACAGCACTTGCAACACAAGTAGGTTGCATACATGTTTGAAGATTTAGAGGTGTTACTAAAGAGTAACATACAAAGAAAAAAAAAAGGAGAGATTAGAAAAATTGATGTTTGATACGAAAACGAGCAAACCACACCAACCAGAAGTGATATTTTATCTACCTGGTGGTTTACAGCCACAGTCAAATTGCATTCCATTGTGATAAGATCCTAAAAAAACCACAGTTTTAAAAAGTGAAACATTTAAATCAATATTTGGATTTTTAATGCTCCAAAAATTCAGGATAAACGATCCTACCATTGAGTGTTAGAATATGCACATGTATACAGATGTGTGAGCAAGTGAGCAATAGTTGACTGTATATGTGTGTGTGAGAGTGTATGTGTGGGCACAGGTGTGAATGTGTGTGTGTGTGTGTGTGTGTGTGTG